CTTTCCAAAGTATCCTTTATGGACACTCTAAGGTACCTCTTTGGAGAGGTTTCATGTGCCATAAATATTCAATAAATATTTATTGAATGTACAGAAGCAGGAGATTTAGCCTCCCAAGTAGCTAGGATAACAGGTGCGTGCCACTGTGCCTGGCCCAGCCGTGTCCTTAAACATTGCCAACACACTGCTGGGGGCTTGTGGAAGTATCTCTGGACCATTATTGGGGACCATCAGTTGGGAGGACGTGTCTGAAAGGAAGCCTCTCCTCCTGGTTAGAAGGGAACATCTTTCTGTTTTTTATATTGGATAATGTTTGGGAAAAGTTGAAGGTGAGGTCTCCTGGGTAGTATTAGATTGTAAATGACTTTTGGTGATCAGAATGGTYCCAAAAGTTGAAACAGGTTCTAATAGTGCTTCTGAGAGGCTCAGAAACTGGAAGAGGTCCTCTAAGAATAAAATGGGCAGTAATGTTTCTTTAAGAAAAGTAGGGAATTGGTGAATRGCACAGGTGACATTGTCCCTAAAAAGCAACCCACTACTTTCCTTTCTCTTATCACTCTTATAATCCCTACTCCAGCCCTTTTCTCTTCTCATTAGCACCTCCACCAGAGTTGGAGCTGGGGGAGACAGAAGTATTCAGACATGCACCTACTGCATAGGCACTTCACTGAGTTAATGCCAGGACAGTGCTATCATTCTGTCCAGTTCTGTAGAAAAGCCAGCTTTCACCTCATCACTTAGGTATGATTTTCTTTTTTAGCAGAGAACAGTTTATTGCCAGGCTTCTCTTAACTGTACATTATAAATAGTGTCTGATTAAAAATGTTCTGGATGAGTTAATTAGTGTGGTGACTATTATTAAGYAAACTGCTTGTTAGCATTATGCCTATTTGATCTTGGTATTGATGCGAAGTAATTGACCATAGAGCTACATTTAGAAAAGCCGAAATAAAGTTTTTTTGATTTCTATTATGGCAATAAATTGTTTGTATTAAACATGTCTACGAAAATATGAGTTTCATGGAACAGAGGATCAGAATAGACTTTGTGTGGGATGTCGAATAAGGGTTGTTTTGTTTTTAGAAATATTAATACATTTGTCCAGCYTCCTTCAAGGCCAGTTCTATTGAAATAAAGTACTAAATAAACTGTTTCGGTTTCTGTCTTCATTGTTGCTGTGGAGTATATGAAAACTGAAGTGTTTTTAACTTCCCACAACTAAAGGAGATATCCTGTTAGATTCAGCTAATTGCCTAAATACTTTTTTTGGTGACAATCACTATAATAAATAGACTATTAAAGAAAAAATATGAAAARATACTATAAACAAGGGAAACATAGCTTGCAACTATCTTCTTTCAAGTACTGGATTGTTATCTATATTATTTATTGGTATTTTGTCCAGTTCCATTATTAAGTTTCCCTAGCCATACTATTTCCATAGGGAATTAATTCCATGGGCTAATAAATTATACCGTCAGGGAGTTTTTCTTGAAATTCAGCTTAAATTTTCCCATTCTTAATTTCATCTCATTACTCCTAGTTATACCCCCTTGTACCAGGCTAAGTAATTATTCTTTTTCCTTGGAGACTCCTATTATATACCCCTCTAGTTGTCACTTCACCAGGCTATTCATATTTAGCTCCTTTAATCTGTCCTCATAAATCAATTCTTCCGTTGCCTTAATCATCATTATTGCTCTTCTAAGAACTCTCTAATTTTCAAACAGATCCAGTTCTCAGGTGCCCCCGATGGAATCAGCATTCACTCAGTGTTCTGTTCTACAGACACCGTCTTCCTTTCCTCTTCAACACGATCCAGAACAAGGGGCATCAGCTTGCTGAGTGAAATCAGCACTTGTCAAACTTGGGGAGGATCTAAGTGGTGTTTTTCCTGTGGCCTACCTGCTTTCAAGGTTTATTCTGATTTTTTTCAATTTCATTGGATCTATAAGCTGTTTTGATTCCTGTTCCTATTTATATTCCACATCCTTCCATGTCCTCATTTGCTACTACCTATTAAGTCAGTCATCTGCAATCTGTGTTAACGTGGGATTCTCGTCATCCTTGAGAACACTTAGGAAACGTGTTGAATAAAAGCAGAGCTAAAAAGTAAAAAAAAAAAAAAAAAAGCAGGGCTAGCACCTTGCCCACAGCTAGATTCCCTGTCAGTCCTCAGTTTCCATTGTTTACAACCCTTCAGCCAATCCCCAGTCTCTTTTAATTTGCAGTTTTGCTTATATGCTGTCCAATACAAATGGATTTGTATGATGGGTCATGGTACTGCTTTCTAAAATGAAGATATGTTGTCTCACTGCCCATTGATTTTTTTTCTTCATTGTGAATCCTTATGGACTAACTTTGTAATTCTGTTAAAAATCCATTTTAAGCTTGCTTGGCATTCTTTATCTAACAAACAAATAGGTTACTTTGCTTGTTTCACATTGTTTTCCAGGTATGTACAAATGTTTCTTCTCTTACCATTTGTCCTGTTTGTTTGGCAGAAGGTGAAGGTGTTGTCATTGTCATTTTTTTAAAGTTTACTGTGGTGATCAATTAGAACTTGGGGAAGTTGTTTTTTTAGTTCTTTAGGCCCCCCTCCATATTTTCAGTATTTTTAATTTATTTCAGAAAGAAATCTCCTGTAATAATTTTGGACCTGTGATATCAAAAACTGCAATCTGTAAATGTCCATTTTATTTTTAATTTTTATTTTTTTATTAAGTCCAGGTCTCACTATATTGCCTAGATTAGCTTCAAATTCCTAGGCTCAAGGGATCCTCTTGACTCAGCCTCCCAAGTATCTAGGACTATGAGCATGCAGCCCCACATCCAATATTCTTCCCATTTTAAATCAAGAGTTTATTATTTTATTATGGCATATTTAAGATTAGTGCCATTTTATATTTTATTTATCTGTATACAAGCATCTATTGCTGAGGGTTTGTATATATTTAGATGATTTTTTTCTCCAACTATTTGAAATCAGAATAGATGTTAAAAGTGTTTTATAAAACAAGTGTAGAAACTCCTAGGCAAGCTTTCTGAATCTGGAATGTACATAGCATACTACATGCAGCCAATGACTTTGTGTCCACCTCACCTGATTCTACACTGTTCCCTAGTCTTACMCATCAGCAGTCCTTTCAGCCTAGTTAACACCCTCTCCTCATACACACAGTAACTGATCTCAGTTGGCATCTTCAACCCTATTTCTACCTGTATTCACCTTAATTCAAATGAACACCTGACCCAGGGCTTTAATAACACTCCTGACTTTCCACATCTTCCAACTGAAACTTTCTTTCTTTCTTTGCATCATTTTTCTCTTTTCCAGCTTTCAAGAAAGCTAGGTTTATTCTTTTACAAGACCCCACATTTCCCCATACATACCATTAACCACAAACATTACATTTTTCTACTTCCATCTTGCAAGGCTTTTCTTTCTCTTCCCCAGAAGAGAAAAGCTTCCTTCCCTAGAGATGTCCCCAAAGTGAATATCCCTAAGTTCTCCTATCCCATTTTAAAAAGTTCACCTTTGCATCCCCACCCTTCTTGCCTTATTCCCTTTCTCTGACTCTCTTTCATACAAAAACCCTAATCTCTTGAAGGGTTTTAGCCAGTGCCACTCCACAGGGACTCCCCTGGAGTAGCCACATGATCTGGGACAGAATTCTTGCTGGAGTATGCTTCAGGGTTCTCACACACCTTTTTATACATTCTTTGAACGCTCTTGATTCATTTCCACAGTGTGATAATAACTCCCAAATTCTCTTGCAGCTCTTCCAAATGTTGCTTATTAGTCTCTTTTTATGGTTTTTCTTTCTGACCTGGCTGCTAAATGCACATATTCTCCTTGACRTCACTTAGCAACCCAAGAGAAGCAATCTCCACATGGACCTGAGGGGGCCCTGGGTTGCCTGACCTGGCYTACCACCCCAGGCTTCCAGCCCATTCTTTTTAGGTTGCCTATTATTCCCAGAACAGTTATGTGCCTGCACATAATTTCCTTTAATCCCTCTGGTCCCTCAATCCAGAACTTCCCCAATTTGCAAAATCCTTCAGTCAAATCCCTTTTAATCTTTTACTGACCCCCAACTCAGGATGAATCTCCTGTTCCCCTCAGGTTAAAAAAAAAAAAATGAAGTGTCCATTGTGCATCTCGTGTGTTCCAACATAAGTTAGTTGGGTATTCACATATCTCTCTTCAACTCTGTTCATGCATTCTTGGTTTATTCCTCATTTTATGGAGACCCCTTTGAGGTAGATCCTGTATTTGTTATGTATGACTCACAGATTTTAGGCTATAGTAGAATTTTTAAGATTTCATTTTATTTACATTCTTTTATCAATAAGCAGATATTGAACTCTGAATCCAGACAAAGCATTCTGGAGGGATGCAGGAGAAATGAAAATAGAAAAGATATTAGAATATACTTCAAGAAATATCAGCCAGGGTCAGTTTAATAGTATTTACTGTACAACAATAGTATTACCGTAATACAACAATATTACTGTACAAGCACTGCACAATGTCTGGCCTCATAGGTGGTAAAGAATACAGAACAGTAATGTGAGCAGAAATGGCAAGAGTTAACCAAGGAAGTTTCCAACATTTATGTAGGACAATGAACAAGCAAGTTGAAACCCAGTGCTGAGCTATGTGGTGATTGGAAGACAAAAAATGAAAATCCAGAAAGATGAGTGACGGAGGAGTAACAGTCTCTGTGATCTTGTATTTTATGTATGGGCAGTGTAGGTTTCATAGCCGCAGAAACTCTTTGGAAACCATTCAAATACAGTCTAGTTCAATTTGAAACCTTTGATTCTTTTCTTGGTAGCACATACTTGTTGCTCTTTTTCTAGAAAATTTTTTTTATATTGGTTTTATCTTATTCAGTTTTATACATAATCATCATGTCCTTACAGGAAGGTAAGGGACAAATCTTACTTTTTTTTTTTTTTCACTAAAAGCATATTGCATTCCCTTTTTGTAACAGATTCATGCCCAAGCACAAAATAACCCATTTAAAGAGGATGCTCAGCCTTAAAGGAAATGGCGGTTCTGCTCCATCCATGGCCTGTCCTTCCCAACAGGAGCAAGGAGATTCTGAGAATTTGCTGGAGAATTTTAATTCAGAGTATAATGAACACTTTGACTTTGATACTGTACAAGAAAACCTGGATGACTCATCGATGCAAGAGCCAGACTTGAGACAATCCAACTGGTCTGATGATTCAAGCTCTCATTGTGGGGAAAATGAACAAAATCTGACTCTTAATACCTGTGACACTCTGCGAGGAATTGATGATCAGCAGAGACCACTCCACATTGTTTGGCCTCATAGATGGTAAGTCAAGACATGCCAATTTAGTAAGTTGTAGAACTAGTAATAGAATATATATTTTGATGATTAATTTATTAATTCGCTGACTTTATACCTTTAGAAAAATCATTTTAACATAGTAGTACTAGTAATATAGTGGCAACATGCTACTACTCAAGATCTTTACATTAATGATTGTGTGTTTAGATTAAATTTGAATTACAGACAATTGTTTGCAATGATTTGCTCAATTAACAATAGTAGCCAGACACTTCTAGGAAATTGAATTTTGTTCAAGAAGTTTCAAAGTATCAACATATAAGAATAGGATACCATTTTATATAAACCCACACGCAACGTTGTCACAGCACTGTTTCATTTGTATACATTGATAAAGCAGTATTACTGTTAAGACAAGAACAATTTCCATTATTTACCACTACTTTGACCAGTTTCAACTGGATGGCTTTGTTTTACTTGTCATAATAAATCAGTACACTTGAAACAGTTTCCTTTCTTCCAAATGCTTCTGTATTTTGCTAAGCAAAATACTGTCTTTCCGAATCTTTTCTAAACAGAGGAAAATCAACTGCAACATATAATCCCACCAAATATAAACTCATAAACTTAACCATGGCTTCTATAAATTAGGATTTAAGGAGGTAAAATGTCCTGATAATCTTCTGGTATTAGGCATGAACATTTTAATCTAGTTTTTATTCCTCCCAGTTAGTTTAATCTGCGTGTGGCCTGATTAGAGTTCACTTCCCCCACAGATTATGGTCTCTTTATTGCAGCGTTGCTGGGCTGATCATTAGGTCCGATTTTCTGAGAGCAACTGTTTGCAGGTGAATTAATAAGCACAGCACACCGGCCGGCCAAAGCGCCTTTGCCGAGGATTTGACTTCCAGCACATTAAAACTCCAGAAGCTCTCCCGGTTGATCTGCAGCATCTGGTACCTAAAGGGATTTTTGTCTTTGATTCTAAATGTATGAACATAAAATTTAGGCATTGAAAGTTGATGTGGAATGAGTTTTTGGATTTGTTTTTTCCTCATCACACTTCCCGCATACCCCCTCTAAGGGAATAACGTTTATTTGGAAATCATATTTTACTTAGAATGTAACAGTGTTCTGTATTCTTTTGTGTTAGTTTAAAATGCACTGGGTGTGGATGAGATTAACCTGTTTCAAGGTAAAATACATGACCTCGTTCACTCCCTTCAGAACAGCCTGTTCTTTTATTACACCAATCTTTAGTTGTCTCTGAAAAGAATATTTATTGCAAGAAAATCAGTTCTAAAAAGTTTGGTTCTGGATTGTCATAAAAAATGCTAGATTAAATCATTTCTAGACTGCTTTTACAAAACAGCAATATAGAGGAAAGAGTGAGAGAACCATGTTATTCAATACTTTGCACAAAATAAGACAGAGCTATGTTAATAAAATTAACAATATTAAATTGAATAATTCCCTCTCTTCCTTTGTATATTTTTGCTTTAATTTAATTTAATTGCCTAAAGTTAGTTGCTTAAAGAGATGCAGCATTATGTTTGTGCACATTCTTATTGTTAAAGCTAAATTATTTTTAATTTGGAGAAGAGGGAAAAAAGCCGCATCAGCAAGAGTAAATGCCAAAATATAAAAGTAACACATTCATCCTTACGGGTAATATAGTAGAACATTGGAAACTTGGAGGTTGCCAGACACATAGCTAACATTAGGGCTAATTTTGAAAATCTAGCGTGCAGTCAATTTTACTGATGCCTGGGGACATACAAGGTAGAAGCTGACAAGAGAACTAATTTTGTTTGGGTTATTTACTGCTATGCATCATCCGCGGGTTCCCGCCTGACACACAGCTATATGAAGGGGGATATTATCACACACTAAAAATTTATGTTGACATTCGATATTTGTTCAATATGTCAGCAGTATTACTTTCATAATCAAAAGAGTAAGAAAAAGAGAAAAGAAAAGCACTTTATGCTCATATAGATATATCTTTTTAATAACAGTCTATAAGGTTAATATAGTTTACCTTTGAGAGTATACAATGAAAACAAGCAGGGTTAGGAGGGGAAATGACAGAAAGCATCAACCCGAGCTGTTTGTTTGCCATTACCTAAGCGAGCCATGTCAGCTCTCTGGCCCGCGTCTGATAGCTATTTGTTGTACAGAGAGCACAGCATAAAAAAAATATCAAACTCTTAATACTATTGTGTGCCCATAACCATCTGTCACTGCTAGCCTGGAGATGAGAGGAAGATTACGAGGAATAAACACTGAGCCGCCGAGCATTGGTAAAGCCTTCGGGCAAAAAACTCTTGTGGGGACATCAAAGACATTCTAATTCCGAGGCAGTCAAGGATTACAGTGTGTAACCTGTGCTGACAACAGATAAATGACTGGCAATATTGTGCCAGAGCTGTTGGGTCCTGCATGGAGTACTGATGATGATGATGATGATGTTATCTTGCAGAATGGACTCTGCTGGGATAATTTTATGATAAAACACTTTTTTCAAATGCCACTGGGTCTAGGCAGACATTTACTAGCTACAGGGGTAGCAATCAGTTTCTTCAAAATTTACTGTTCTAAGCCCATTAGAGTTCCAGCGCAGCAAGACTCTTCAATGAAAATCTAAAACGCCTATATTTTCTTTAGGAGAATATATGCAAATGTTGGGAGCTGAACTCCTACCCTTTAGTGGTAGATGCCTTATCATCTGATTTATGTAAATTTGCTCATAAAAATACAGTTTATTTTTAATTGGTGAATATGAATTAGAAAATTAAGATTCTGGTTCAGCATTCATCAAACATCCCCAGCTACAAGCACACATTTATTTAGACCCCTGATTGTATGGGTAGAAATCACATCACTGACCAGTCAATGTGAATCGTATTCTAAAGGAAACCAGGGTTTCCACTGGAAGGACCAAGGTTTTGACTCATCTGCAGAAGAACGAGTTTGAGCCTTCTGTTTTTCATGTTGTTGTCAGTACTCCAAGTGATTTCACCTGCTTGAAGGGGGCTTTTCCTTGAAGYTGCCTGCAGGAAGGTCTTCAGTCTGTTTCAAGTTTGCCTTGGCCATGCACATTTTCCAGAGAGAAGGTGTTTTGGGGGCAGGAGAAAGCATCAATGGTTGTTTCCCTTGTAAACATAAAGGAGAAATAGACACTGGAGAGGGCAACAGGGTTGTAAGATCCTGTCATTACCAATGCCTAACAAAACAAAAATAAAACCCTCCTCCTTATCATAAAAAATATGCCCATGATATCATACAGTTGTGGTAGCCAACTCTAAAAATGAAGTGATGCTGACCTCATTGTGTTAGTTCCACACTGGGATCATGAATGGCCTAAAATATAGTGTTAGCCTCTAACATATCTTGTACTAAGTCAACCAAATGTAGAGCCTCCTTGCTAGGATATGTATCAAAATCAAAAGTGACATTTTCTAGAAGATACATTCTGGCTTTAAATCTGTGTTAAAATGTCTGTGCATGAGAACAGGCCCTTAAATGCAAGGCTTGCCCCCTCTCTTCAGTCTTTCTGAATCTGAGCTTGTCAAGGATTATAGTGTGCAACCTCTGCTGACAGTAGATAAATAACTGACAGCATTTTAGCAGAGTTGCTGGGTTCTCTGCAGAGTAATTTGTTTTCTCCTTTCTACCCAGTCTTTAATGTTTTGTTCTAAACATCTACAGCAAAGCAYGCTTAATAGAAATGACTTATAGGGAAAGACCTGTAAAAACTCCACTGCAATTTGCAGTACTTATTTTTTAACTATTTTCTTTCCAAATGTTACACAAACACTGTAACATTGCAGCGGTTTCCAACCTTTATGTAAATGTTCTCTGAACTGAAATGGTCACAGAGACACACTGCTGGAGGGACAGAGAACACAAGCTTAGAAGGCATCAAAAGCTCATTGCCCTTGTTCTCAAAACATTTTCATCTCAAGACCYTCCTCACACTTCTAAAACTTGGTGGGACACCTAAGGGTTCTTGTTATTGGTATTGTAACTATTAATATTCACTGTATTAGGAATTAATATTAGGAAAAAATTCTTAAATCTACATTAAATCATTTTTTAAAAAAAAACAATAATCAACTAAGTACATGGTAATGTAAAAAGTGAATTTTTATGAAAATAGCTGTTTTCCAAATCAAAATCTAATACTGCAAAGAGTGATCTTATCATACATTTATGTAAATCTAATGCCTAAGTGGAAGATAATCGAATTCTTCCATCTCTTTAGGTATTAAATCTATTGTAATATGTTGTTTTGAAATTTATGGAGAAATCCTCCTCTCAACAAGATGTCTTTGGAAAAGAGAATGTTTTAATGACCTATTCTTGTACTGTTGATATTCTTCTTTGAAATGACACAAGAAAAGGTTAGTCACAATGTGGAGTCTGAGACCAMGCAATGAGTTCTTCATGCTCTGCTACTTGCAGTTTGAATGGATTTTGTGGCATCATGCATTGGTCATTCAAAGAATATAGGCTTCCTCAATAATGCAGATCTTTCGAATGTTAACACAATTCATTATACAGTTTCAAAAACTCACATTTGTTAACATCACCAAAAATGTCTCATAAGAGACATTTTTGAGTCTTGGGAATCTATTAAGCTCATAGTGTAGATACAATTTTTCAAAAATTCTAATGGTCACTTAGAAGCTTGAATTTATAATTACAGCAAATATATTAGTTGTTTTACTTGAAGTAGTAATAGATTCACATTGTTCATATTTGAGAAAATGTCTGCCAAATTTTCTAGTGTGATTAACATAGTTTTAGTTCTTTCAATTAAACTCAGTATTTCATGGAAAAGGCCAGTAGTTTAACTCAGAGTACCAACAATTATACAATACTTTTCCTCAGGAGAGCACATATTGTATCTTGGTGTACAGTAAAAGTGCATTATATGTATTTCAAATTTTATCACAGAGACTATTAAAAGACATCTAACAAAAGGTTGAATTTTATGACATCTAAATTTTATGACATTT